ATTATAACCTGTACCTTTATAGACTTTATGGTCATACTCTACCATTGCTGTCACACACTGCAACATTTTAATCAAAGGCAAACAAATTTTGTCTTCATGGTGATTCTATAGAGCTTAAAAATCTTTTTCTTATAATCAGAGTAAGTGAATAACACATCTCCTTAAAATATTCCTTTTGGCTGATAAAAGCTATTGTAAGCAATGCACATTACATACAGATCAACAGAAAGTTTGCCAAGTTTGTCTTCTTTCTCTCTAGATCAAAGTCAGTATCTGAGCGACTGCTTACCTTCCCTTACCCCTCCCCAAACCCAACAACAGTTGACTGATAACAATTTAGGGTTGTTATTGGGTAAAGGGGAGGGGTAGGTGCACAGTTGCCAAGATACTGATGTTGATCCTTCAAGCTTAATAATAAATTTCCATGACTTTCATGTACCTACTCTTGTCTTTATTGCTTTCCTGAGCCAAACATCACAGAGTTAATTCAGGATAATGTGTTGATGAACCCTGTATTTAATACTTACTGATGGAGTGCTGTCAGAACATTGTCCATTGAGTATAGGTCTCTCAAACATGTTGCAAAACTCCTGTTTGGTTCCCAGAAAGTTGGGTCGGACAAAGTCTACCATGCACCAGTATTCCTGAAGGTTGTTTTGCAGTGGATATCCTGTTAAAACGACCCGCCGTCTAATGAAAAAAGATTTATTACATAGCTAGTAATACCATTATACACAGTGGCCTACTAGTCAGTGCAGTGGACTCCAGGTTGAGGGGTACGGGTACAGACCTGGCCGAGACAGGTGATTTTGGGGAAAAACACTTTAAACTCGCTGTGCCTGACTCTCCATCCAGGAGTATAAATTGGTAGTGGCAAATTATCAGGGAAGCCTGATGAAATACTGGGGGGTTAACTTGTGAAAGACTAACATCCCATTCAGCAGGGGGGGAGGGAGTGTTAATACTCCCTGTTGCTTCATGCTAAGGAAACTGGGATAGACTCCAGTTGGGTGAGCCAGTACAGACTTTACCCTAATACTCACAAATAAGAAAAGTGTGTTTGATCGCTAGTAATTTTTCTTTGTTCTGATTGCCCAGATAAATCTAGGGAAAGTAGACTTGTGAGGCTGCTTTCATTCAGTCTTAGTTGCAAAGTTGAATGAAGCAATCAGGTTTAATTTTAGCTCAACTTCTTCGTAATGGACTTGATACAAGAATAACAGGAAATTATAACAAACTAAGGAACTTCTTGATTGTTATACAAATTCTCTTTGTCAGCATATTAGAAAATGTGCACATGGAGGTAAGGAGAATATGCATACTGATGTTAGGGTGGAAATTGTTCATACCTGGTGTGGATCTTCTTTAGTGCCTGTGATGTATTTGCCTGGTCATTCTTGATTCTGTGCCCTTCGTCACAAATGACTAAGTCAGCACCAGGTTTACACAGTGCTCTCTGAACTCCTGTGAGTTAAAAAGCAAAGTTATATTTAAAATACTCTATTTCCTTGGCAAAAGATGTTTTTTTCTCTTGTCATGAGCAAGGGACAAAGAAAAATTTTAGGTCCCCATGAGGAATCGAAAGTCTGACTTTGTGATTCCACGCTCCAATGCTGAGCCACAAAGACTCTACCATGGGCAAGGCCATCACAAAGTCCTTATGAGATGCACATCCTGAATGCTGCTTGGATCAGCAGTGTACATAGTGTCATGTTTGTAAATAGAATTAGAGAAATGGTGAACCCTATTTCCTCCTCTTAAGAAGCTCAGTGAACAAACTCTTTTTCAAGTGTGACAACACTGATTTTTTAAAACCAAAAGGAACCCTGTGTAATAACCGTAAAAAAAAACTTACCAATTAGTAGTTCCATGTGTTTTTCCTCTTCATCAAGATCTATAACTTCTGGTTCACCATTCATTTTGTCAAGAGTTGGTGATTTCTTCTTTTTCGTTGGCATACTCTTGGCACTTGACATGGAGGGTGTCACAGTTGACAGAAGTCTATACAGCTCATAACCCATCAGAAGTACTCCACCATTGTGGTTCCACTCACCTTAACATTTGTGGCATAAAGAAACATTGCACTTGTTACATGTAGAAAAGAGGAACTCATAAAAAAACACAAAAAAAAATAACTTAACAGTAACAAGTTTGGAAATTTGGGCCATAAGGTAAAACCCAAACACAAAAGCCTGCTCGCAGACTAAACAGACCACTGTAACAGGTCTTGTAGGCAGCAGAAGACAGCTGGTAAGCAGCCTTTCTTGAAACTCCTGAAGTTAATTTTGTTTTACTTATATCCATGACAATTTGCAGGTTGCAAACCTGCTAAAAAAGGTTCACATACCTATAACTTTGGCTCTGGCCATTGTAGTCTTGTGATTTTCACCCAACAAGTACACCTCAAATTCTCTGTAATGAACTGTGCTAGAATCAGAACTCTCCACAAAGGTTCCATTGCTATCTGTAATGAGCCCTGGTTTAGGTGGCAACCACATGTTAAACTCTGCTTGCCAGTTTTGTATTGTGTTAATTGGCACAACACAGAGCACTTTCTTGGCTGTGGTGTATCTCAAGAATATGTCAATAAAACTAACTACTTGAAGAGTTTTACCAAGACCCATTGAATGGGCTAAAATACAACCAAATCCTGTGCTGACTTTGAAGCGTTTTAGTGTCTCAACAAGGTTGTCATACAGGAACCTGATCCCACCAATCTGTGAGCAAAAGAGAAAAAATATATTAATGAATGATTATTTTTTGTATTATTTAACCCTTCCAATCCCAAGACCTGATTAGCACTTCTTATTATTGTCTGTCACACAATTTTTATGATGTTAGTTCAGAGAATTTTTTATTTGATCAACAACTAATTGACCTCCTGGCTGACTTTTTCGCTAATCTCATCACTTGTCTACCTGATATTGTAAGGAGAAATTCTGTCTTGGTCACTCATGGGGGTTAAAGGGTAAAGGTGGTTTACTCATGAAGGCAAAATAAGCTGTTTTAACCTTATGAACCATTGAGAGTGACAAGCATCTAATTTCTTTTTACAATATCAACTCTGAATCACACATTGTGGTTGCAAGAAATTCTCCTTGTCAGCACTTTAGGAAATATAAGGAGAACCGTATGTAAAATATGCACAATAATTTCTTGGGTGTAATGAGTTAAGTAGTGGCATATTCTACAGGCAACATTAAGCATACAAGCTGTATAATGTAATAATTTTTTTGAATACCCTACCTGATGTGCTTTTATAACTCTAGCAATCTGTGGGGCAAGAAAAATGTCTTCTTCATCAGCAGGATGACTGACATTAACAAGCACTCGTCCTTGCAAATCAGGTTTATTGAGACTGTCATCAACATGCAACCCACTGTTTTCATAGTCAACATCCTTCTGTTTACAAGGAGTGGCATCATCATCATCATTTTCATCATCATCGTTATCACTGACATCATCAACCTCTGAATCTGAACTAATAATCTCAATAAACTCTCCATTAACATTCTCAGCTGCTTGCTTTAAATGATCACAGTTAACAGCTGCAGTGGAGGATCTGGAATCTTCATCATCATCACTATCAATAACAATCACATGCGGTTCAATGTCTTTCTTCTCTCTGGCGTCTACAGCAATTGGGGTTGAGGGCCTTGATGAAGCACTCGGTGATGCTGAGCTTAAATTTTCACCAATTTTAGAAGTACTAGTGGAAGATGCTGCTAAGCTTCTTTGAAGTTCAAGTCTTCGGAGTCGCTCACGCTCCTCTTTTTGGGCCGAAATTGTAACCTCTGTCAGTTCATCTTCGCGCAAAATTCGCCGAATCCGCTTTCGTTTGTTGGGGTCGATCTGCTTTCTTTTTCTCTTTGTTTTTACTTCTTCATTATTTTTTGCGGAAGTCACTGTCTCTTCAGCATCTAACTCTTCTCCATCTTCTTCGTCTCCTTCGAGATCGTCTTCGAAACCAAGTAAACTATCGTCTTCGCTGTTGTAGCTACAATTTGACAATCTACCTGCGGCAGAGCCGTTGTCCTCCGCATCACTGTGCACCTGAATTTCTGCCCCATTACCTTCCATTAGAAACTATAGGATAGTGGATGACTGATTGGGTTGTAAAATATCTTCGTAGATCGAAGAAGAACAAACATCAACGTAGCAACAACTCAAACACACGCTGCAACTTCACTTGAATTTTCATGTAAAACTCGCTCAATTAAGACTAGTCAGCATTAGAGCTGGAGAAAAACACAAGTGTGAAAAGGGATCCCTAAACATCCTTGATAAACTAATCGATGATCCTTCGAAGGAAACTACTTTGTTTCACTCACAAGGTCTATAACAATGATAAAAGGGACATACTCCTTTCCTCCTCTCGTCTGCGAGAAATCCGCCATGTTTGTATCGACACAATAGGAATTCGTAGCCAGGCCTTCATAGCATGCTGCAGGATTCCTTAGGGGCCGGGTGGGTTCGGAGATGACTGTGCTCTCCAATACCACGATCACGCGTTCTTTTCGAGATAACAGAAACTAAATTTCCAAGTTTGCGGTCTCGTAAGATTAAATTGAACGCTTAATCGTGGATGAAGGCACACTTTGGAGAGAAAGACATCTTTGAAGTGTGAGAAAGAAGATGAAAGGGATATAGAATTAAGTGATGGGAAACTAGTTAGGGTTGAATGAAAATATTGCATTATATATTCTACAGATTTATCGAACGCTTTGAAACATGTCAAGTATTTTAATGTTCTCAGTCATTCAATTTATCAGCTGCTTGGTCCTTTACCTCAATGCATTGAGTTTAGTGCCATTTGGAACTGAACACTTCAAATTCCTTGACATAGAAGAATTCATTTTAAGATATTCTGCCCAAATATCCACAAGTTGGCTTTGCAATTGTCATGGCATAATCAACAAAAAAAAATTTAATGTGAAAGGACTTAAAACTGATCAACTATGGGTTACTCAAACTAATTAAAATCAAAGGGGCAACAACAATGCTTCACACAATAAATTTATTTCAAACCAAATTAAAGCACACTTAGATTAAAGTTTCTAAAGATGCTACACATAAAATTACAAGCACCAAGAAAATTAATAATGTCATTAATATTATCAGTTTATTTGATTCCTTAATAAAACATTTATTTTCACTTCCACCAAAATCCCCCTTTCCTGATCCTCATTTAAATTAATCCTTAATTAAGACCTGCATTATAAATAGATATTAAGTATATTTTGGGTATTGAAATGTTTAACAAAAACTACAGTAAATAAAAGAGTTGTACAGAACAAAACCCTTTGTAACTCTGTGGTTGACTCCAGGATTGCAAAGCATAACTTTAAATACCAAATTTGAACCAGAGGTTTAAACTTTGTGTTATCATTTTCCTAGAGTACCAAATAAATAGTTTTCTGGCTACGAAAATAACTGAAACTAGATAGAGATGTGGAAAATGCTAGGAGTCAATTTACATTGTGATTGGTGAAATAATTCTTGCAAGTCCCTTGGGTGTTTTTAGAACCACATTACTTGACTAGCACTCATTCAAAAACTTTTCAACGATTTGCTCTAACCAGAAAGCTTTCTTCAGTTCTTGATTGCGATTGAAAAAAAGTTATCAACAAGATCCTCCAATAAAGATTACACTGAAATTTTTCTACTACAACAAACTAAAGTCAGGGTTGTCAAAAGAAGCTGGCAACTGGTGTATTTTACAATCTGCTCTGAAAAACACATTGGCTATTCCAAAAGCTGGTGGTTCCCATAGCCCTTGCCTGGAGCTTTTGACCTCTAATGCTGCCTACTTTAGGAAGTAGTCCAGTTGCTCAAAATCTTTTTGACAACCCTCAGGATAAATACAGCTGAATCTCCTTTTGGAATAGAATCAGTTCCATCATATAAATACCATTTACTAATTACAGTCTCTCCTTAATATGGTATTTTTGCCATACCAAAGCACTGAAATATTTGAAAAATTTCACTGTTACACCCAGAAAAGGAAAGACTAGTATGGAATCTTGAACGACAGTTCTTTGAAATTAAAATTACTTTTACTGAACTGAAAATCTTTCATGAGAAACTTAAAAAGTACAAAAAGCCTGCGTCTGAAGACCAAATCTGGTCTTTGTGAAAAATATCCCAAGCAACATGCAATAATCCGCTTTACATAAAAATATAGCATTATGTAAGAACTGTAACATTACTGATAACATAACAGAAATATAATCTAGCATCAAGTATAGGCATCATAAGTAAGTCACATACCACTATTAATAATAAAAATAAATGAATTTCAATTCACATGCATGGCACATTGTCCTGTACAGTAAGAGTTTTACTGCCAGTAACACTATGGTATTGTTGATTCAGTTGACAAAAATCCAAGATACAAAGGTGTTGGAAAAAACACAGGAGATATTCTTGCCAGCAAGAATACTTTCTTTTAGCCCAGCTGTTAGTATTTTTTGCCACACTTTTGTATCATGACTACAACTAAGTTATGCTAGTTTTAGCCCACAGCCATACTTTTCATGAGCAATATTTTACAACTTGGCACAGCCAAGAAAACTGCTCTTCCTTACAATAAGTGCAAGTAAGCACTCAGAATACTATGATAGTTATCACCTCTACATGTGGTGGAACCTCAATAACTTGAATGGATTCTCCCTTGACGTGCATTTTGCAGTCAATCAACTCAACAAATTCCCTAGTACTGTGAACTGTATTAATTTTCATCTGCAGTTCAAATTGTCGACTGAGGTTCTACCATATGCTTTTCAAGCAATGATTGTAAATGCTCAATTTTTGTATGTAAATTTTTCATTAGGATTTCTAAAAAAATCTAAGTTTTTTGCAGCAAGATATGCAGACACAAAGAAAAGTCACCTTTACTTAGTTATCAAGTCAAGGCACAGGATCATTTAAAAACTGCACTCCAAATTTTCTTATTTAAGTCCTCCAATGAAACAAATTTCAGTATCATTCTCTTAGCAACAATCACACTTTCATCACTCCATAACATACCCACAAATGAAAACAGAGAAATTAAAGATATACAATAACACTGGCTTGTGAACAATGATATTAAAATGTACTTCAAATCTTAAATCTTTAAACTGGTAGAGAGAGCATGTAGTTACAGACCAATCATTCTAAATGCTAAGCAAATGCCACTAGGGAAATTCCCTGTGTTGAGCTCACATGAAAAAAAATTATTGCTGTTTTAATATCAACAATCAATTGATACTGCAAAAGCAAGTATAGGAACTGACAGAACAAATTTCAGCCCCACAATGTAAATACAAAATGAAAGACTGAACAAAACATTTAAGAATTCATATTTAAAGAAAAATTTATCTAGTTGGGCCAAAATGCTCCTCTTCAAGGAAATTTCGCCAGAATTAAACCTGCTACAAGTATGCTTTCATCCCTAACTTTCAATTACTGTTAGTTACTTTACCAATAAATATTATTTTTACTGATGATGATTTAAATAAATAAATTTTTTACATCAACACTGATTGCAATAAGGATAGCAGAAAATTACTTAAAAGAGAACAAATTTGTCATTAATCTAATATATATTGACTTGAGACCATTTCGGAGGAATAGTCTCAAGCAAAATTATGGGAATCATTTTGATTTAGTCCTTGAGGGAATCACCGATCCATGTTGTTCTATACATTAGCAAGCAATTTATAACTTTAATCGGTGGGCATTGGTTTGCTTTAATTTAACCATAACAATAATCTTCTTTTCAGTAGAATGTAGCTTACAGTCTTAAGTTCATAGCTTGAAAAACAACAGATAAGGAAAATTATTTTAATCATTTTATACTGTGCAAGCTTGAAATTCTGATTTAAAACGACAACATCAACAAATAGAGGAGTGAAAGAGAGAGGAAAGAAAAATTGAAATCATAAAAAGTCTACCTACAAAGGCATTGAACTTGATAAAGGAAGTAAAATCTCTCCATGATAGGATATATGAAAATGGCTGATGTGAACAGAAACCCTTATTTAGAATCTTCATTCAAATCCACTTGTGTATACTTAATTTTATATTCCATTAAATAAGGGAGTGGTCATAAATACAATTTCAGTCACACAATCCAAAGAAATTCCTCTGTGTTTTAAAATAAATATCATGGCATTTCTCACAAAATATGTGCTTAGAATATCACGCTAGAAACCATTCTTGCTCAACAAATTCTTAACTTTTTGAGGCAATGACTAACTCATAGTCATTGATGTGGTTAGCTATTCACAAAACATTGTAAGTGACTAATGAGCTAGACAGATGTTGTTCAATCATAGTTATGCTGCTATATAAAACAGCTGTTCTATCTGACCACCTCCCATTTCTTCATCAAAAGTAAATCTTACAGTGCAGAAAGGAAAAAAAAAAGCTGTATTCCCATTAGTAATGAAATGTAAATTTTCCTCTTTGCTTACTCATGTGTAAATTCAAAACTCTCTATTTTCTTTTCACTGTGTAGTTACTATCACACAACTAATCAAGAAATAGAATCAGAGAGAGCGTTTTGCAGCAGCTTACAAGTTTTTTCATCAAACATGTTCATATATTTAACAGTTCTCAGGGAAAGATATATGCTTTGTGGATGTTTGAGCCAGTTAAATTTCCATTTCTCAAAAATTCTATCTGACAACTGTCAATCTAAATGGACTAATATTGTTAAATATGTAACATGAAGGAAATCAAATTTGATACTAATGAAAGTGGAAACACATTTCTGACTAGGTAAAATAAAATTCTCAAGTCAGTCAGAGAACTTGCTTTTAATTTTCCAAAAAATCCTTCCATTGGCCAGTTCAACTGGCCAAAAATTACTGATGTTCAACATAAATTCAAATGAGGTAAAGAAACAAAACTCAAATCATTATGATCGGTGTAAATAAAAAAGAAAAGTGTCAAATTATTTTTAGTTATGATGGAATTATGCTTAAACTGCAGATGAGACTTAATAACAAGTACATCTTGACACATTTTTCATCATGTAAATAATAACTTGTCCCTTCAAATTTAAGTCACAATGTAGTTGAGCTGATAAAATTCCCCATGACAACTGTGTAGTTGTCACAAAGGTTAACAAACATTAATATTCTAGATCACGATTCAAGACTCTTTCACAAGACACCTAGATTTGTTTCATGCTAGAATAAAAAGTACTCACTTAGATTTCACCTTGAACAATTTCAAGCGATCATACACATTTAGATTTTTATGGCATACCAGCTGAGTGCAAGTTGAATTGCCTTGACGAGCTATTATGGTTGACCATGCCAGGAAAATATTCCAGATTCGTACAATTCTGCCATACTTTTCTGTCATGGCAGCTTGGGTTTGGGGCTTCATCCAATTATCGTACCAGTGATTGATTGTCAGCGAGTAGTGTACCCCAATGGTTTCTGAAGAATGGACTTCAAAGCCAGCCTTCTCCAGTTGAGTGACAACCCAACCCAATGGACAGCTTGCATCTGCACCTGGGAAGATATATTTTGCCATAAACAGACCCCAAATGAAATCTTCCCACTGCCAGGTTCGACGCAACCCAGCAATTTGAAGGAAGAAGATGCCATCATCCTCCAGCATGTCACGAACCTGGGCCAGGAATGATTGAAATTTCCTCACACCAACATGCTCTGCCATTTCCAGACATGTGATTTTGTTGAATTTCACGTTTGGTATATCACGGTAGTCTAGGCAGAGAAATTTACTGCGGCTACCAAGCTTCTTCTCTTCTGCTACTCCCTCAGCCCACTCTACTTGACGATTGGCTATAGTAACGCCAGTTGAGTAGGTTCCGTGATTTTCTGCTGCATAATTGACCAGGGTACCCCACCCACAGCCGATGTCTAAATGCCGCTCGCCTTCTTTCAACTGACACTTTTCGCACACGCTCTTCAGCTTGTTCACCTGCATATCTTCGAGATTTTCCGTTTCATCTCTACATATTCCTGATGTGTAAATCATCATGGGGCCAAGAAATCCGTGATAAAAGTCATTGCCACGGTCGTAGTGATCACAAACTTGTTCGGCGTCTTGATTCCTTGAATGAAAAATCACTTCAGGAATAAAATTACAGAGCAAAAACTTGATATGTTCAAATGTCAGTTCGTAGGTACAGAATTGGTGACGGTTTTCTAAAGCTTCTAGCACATCACATTTGAAGTCTAGCTTGCCATCAGCGTAAGCCTCGTAAAGGACTATCATTGGTATTTTTCGATTGGCGTATTTTGAAGCGAGAACCTGGTCTGTGAATTCAATGAACCGTTTGACATTCGTTGATTTCGTACCGCTTTCAGCGACACACATTCGGTTGAATGCCACCATGAAGACACCAAATACTGGCAGAAACAAGACGGCGAAGGTTAGTGGATAGCACCAATAAGGCAAACCCAAACTATACTGTACCAGGGCCGGGGTGACAAAGAGAAGGCCGAACAATGCTTTGTAAGAAATTTTGTGCCACGCCAGTTGATCAACTCCATTTAGCTTTTTCCCCGTCGCAAAGCCATTTGCTTTCGGTCCACCGTTTCGAATTCTCTCCATTTTGATGTAAAGCCAAATATTCTCTTCACCGGCCGGCAAACAAAACTAGGCAACTTATACCCGGCGAAACTTTCAGCGGATTATGGAGTAGTCTTCCGATGCCGATAACATTGAGTGAACTTCACCCAGCTGCGCCTGCCTGCAAAATTTATCAACAGTACACGTGTCGTAAGCGATCACGTGATCATGTTGAGACGGCACTGGGAAAACCCGAGGATCGTCTGGTGATCCGTCCACGAAGTAAATCGAATCTATTTTACTTTTCTGTTAATCTATCAGTCTCGCATTGTTGCCCTCGATTTCGCTTTGATTACGAGCGCATTAAGACATTTTCTCAGCCGCGAAAAGAGTCCGGCTAAAAAACAATGGATTTATTTCTAACAAAGACGGTTGAAGCGACTTCTGAGTCGTCTTGAGAAACGGTACAAAATTGACTTAAGGTGACGTAATCGCGTTCCCCTTATTTGTTTTATCTCCTTATTGTTTAAGTTTTCTGTTTATGTTGGGAAAGTTATGTTATATAAACAGTGAATAATTAGCCCCGCGAAGCTGTGCTACGCATTCACGTGGAACGCAGGGACATGTTACAAATTTCACTGAATTTAAATGGTTTCCTTTTAGCCCTTTCCTTCCTTAAATTTTCGATTGAGTGTATTTTCCTGAGATCGAAAATACAAATCAAGGATTCCTATTGGTCTAGTCAATCTCGCTGACTCTGGTTTCCAGAATTTACCAAAGCGACCAAGATCACAGTCACCAAGGTGGAGAACTATTCACGCAACAATGAATGTCTACTAGGAAAAACTTTTTAAAAAGGCCGCAACATGCATATTTCGGTAGCAGAGCTGAAATTTACATGATAAAGTTTTTCCGGATCATTACACACCAAACATTTTTTTTTAGCTTCTTCACGTCACGTACGTTTGCGTCGCTAGTTTTCCTCCGGTTAGTTAAGTCGAAAGAAACAAAAACTCCATTTGGGTGCGAAATCTTTCGTTTGAAAATAACTCTTTTTGTTCTCCAACTGAGTGAGGGTTTCTGTTACTCGGAGATTGTGTAACTCCTATTTCCTGAGGCTTATTTATACCGCGTCAGATAAAAGGGCAGCTAATTAGGGAGCGTATAAAAGGATCTCTTGTTGCAGCGTTTAGATCACCCCAGATGAAGGCAATAGACAGAAGAGTCGAAACGTTGGGTCTATGAATGTAACTTCTCGGTTAAATTCATTAAATCTTTATACCAGAGTAGCATCAAACCATGTCTGATTGTCCACCTAGTTGCCATGTGAACTTTAATACACTTCGGAAATAGCCTATTTAATTACAACCATGCTAAAACCTAAGTTTATTATTCTCTGACAGAAAATATTCATATGAACAAAGGGCAATAAAGATTCGTCCCTCTGGTAAGGAGCGGACCTACCGGCCGTGCATTGGGTTAATATGGGCCATAAAATGAAGTAACAACCTGATCCAATATTTGTTAAGAATCAAAGTCGCCAAGCAAACTAGATTTTGCATCATGTAGAGTTAAGAACTGGACTGAACTTTAAAGCTGATTTACGTAACTCCTCCGTGAATCTTTTGACCCTAGGAGTGACTGGTATCAAATTTCTCTTTCCGATATCACCTCCTGATCACACATTAAGGTCACGAGTATATCAGAAATGGTCACCAACTCAAGAAGCTCTTGATGGTTAAAAAAATTTCTTTTTGTCAGCACCTAAGGAAATGTATAGAGAACAGTATAGAGAATATGCATACAAAAGGTTAACACAACTTACTCAGCCCTCAAGGAATCAACCACAGGAAAAGAAACGGGAATGGGTCAATGTTAAGCCTTTTCAGAAGAGAGACACGCTCCCTTAAAATGCTTGCTTTGCTTTATTTGCTTCATTAGAGTCCTTTGTGAACATCACTTACGCACGAGGAGCTAACTACAAACTCCAACTAACCCACAAGACTCTTGAACACCTCACATGAGGCGACAGCCACAGTCTTGAAGAGATGGTAAAATCGGCGTGGGTAAGTGGATCATGCGTCTGGAGAGTTGATGGCTCATGTTGGTGGATTATTTTAAACCTGCCTACTCACATGTTTCATAATCAAACACAATTGACAACCCTCGAGCCACCTACCCTCATGGGAACAGCTGGATACTCAGTGAATACTTTGGTCTCCACGATAAGAGTTGGGATGATTCAAACAAACGGATTCTCCCTTAAGCATGAACTCCAAATTACATGGATGTCGCGGTATTTTTATTGGTATTATCAGCTGAGTTGATAACGTAAATTGGCCATCGTAAAGAGTTTTAAAGCTGACGTTTCGAGCGTTTCGTCATACTGGGTGTCAGTTGGCTTCTTCGAATTGAACAAAAGGCGAGAATACTTCATATTGCTAAATATTTTCGCAGGAACTTAACTTCACGAAAATGGAACGGGTATACTTCGCTTCGGCCAAATAAAAATCTTAAAAGGACCCGCATTTCGCGAGTATTGTCGAAATACTGATCTGCATCAACAAATAAGAAGTCTCAGATTTGCACAACTGTTTTCAATTTCCATAACAATACTGTAGTTTCCAATGACATTATAACAAAACGAAACTGCAAACAGTTTGACTTCGTCCTTTGCAACAAGCAGAGTTATACAAGAGCGCATGAAATTGCCTCAGGAACTCCTTTCTCTCCTATCTTTGGCAGCGTAACACTTTCCCTCACTGCGAAAATCGTTAAATATAAGTCTCGCGAAAGGAAGTAACAAAAAGATATTACTTCATCGTAACCTTACCCGAAAACTATTGCGGACACAAAGTGCTAATTTTAGTTAAGCAACGTTAGCCTTTTTTATCAAACCCGCGTCTTAAACAGTCCTCGATTAGTTGGACCTTTATCTGACCTTATCTGAACATTCAGTTTTAAACTCAACCCCGTCTTATAGAGAAAGCCCGGGGCCCCCAGGTTGCGTAAAACCGTAGTTTGGGTTAGCCTTCGTGTAAATAACCAGCCCACATTTCAGTTTCCCGAAGCCTTCTTGCGATTGGCAAATTAGCAATAACATTATTTTCAACTTTGATAGAAAATGAACTGAAATCCTGAATGGTTCGCTCAATGTTTTGAACGAATTTCATTTCCCATGTTCTGTCTGATCTGTTCCATTCGCTCAGTTTCAAAACAGCCGTATGAGGTAAAGCGAGGAAAAAGGCAGGGTATTAGGTAAAGAAGAGCCATCCAAGTTATATTTAGCATCGTGGTAAACTACTACTCGTATGGTAAGTTAAGATGGGCGTGAAGGAAATCCGGCCGTGAGGAATAACCTCCCTTTACACTCCTACTCTAACCAAAAACCAAATTATTCAAGTTGCTCAATGTGGTAACCCCCCGGCCATCAAGCATCAGTAACCTGTCACGTTCTCTTTCATTGTTCATTGAACCAAAAAGGTGAGAAACTCCTTATTTCAAAATACAAAAGTCCCTCATCCCTCTTACTACTAAATATCCTTGGTTCCTTACTCCACCTCCCCATACACAATGACTGATCTCTAAATTCCCGTGAGTAAACTCACAGGCAGCGTGGGAGGTATTCTTAATAAAGTGAAGGGCAGTACAATGAACTATATGGAGTTCCGCTTTCCGGCTTGGCTTAATCTACGTATTATAGGATCAAGAGTCAACGAAACTCGTTTTTGTACTAGTGGTTAGATTCTCTACTTATTCTGTTGCAGCAGGTGTTTTATTGGCAGCAAATGACGATCAACAGATCGACTGGTGTTGTAGCGCAAGTGTGACGTTTGCCTGCCTCCATAACAACAATACCAGTTTGTATTCCTCGGTGACCAAAGTTCACCTGCGTACATGAACGGGAACGATGAAATGTTTAAATAAAATTTAAAGGATTCTCGCATCACAAAGTAATCATCACCCGACATAAATGTGAGGATCAACACTGCAAAATATGCATCGATATCAATCTGCGCAACTGCGCACCTACCCCTCTCCTGGCCCAACAACGGCCAACTGATCACGAATTAGTATTAATGTTGGGTCTAGGGAGGGGTAGGTACGCTGTTGCTTAGATACTGACACTGATCCTAAAATATTGTGGGAGGTAGTGGAAGGTTACAACCTTGCACTATACCCCTTATTTCCAGGTCCTTCTCTATAAAGTGTTGCAATCATTCGTGAGTGAAACACAATTGTTCTTCTGTAAGCAGCTTTTAATGAGGTTTCCGTGCTGTAATTAATTTACTTTCAGTTCAGGTCTCTTTGGAAAAAGCATGATATTTACATTAGAACGAAATAACAAGCAAAGCTATATACAAACTGTATAAATGAACTGTATAAACAAATTTTCACTGATCAAGATGAACGTGGCTGTAAGGTGAAAATTCTTCTGCTGGGGAAAAAAGTGGATTATTGTATTGAAATCCATTTCGACGAAAAATTCTTAAAACGCAAAGGCAAACTTCATATCTCGACATTGAGTCTAAAAATAACACTGTTACGAACGAGAGAGTGATGAAATGACAGCATGCCATTTTGCTAAGTAACTGTGATGATCAAAGCCCACGGGCTCAGTGTAGAAAGTCGAAATTAGCGCTACAGATGATCAGCTGGTTTGCGGCAGAACGGACAGCAATTTTTCTGTAAAACCAAAAGCTCGTAATCGTCTGTGTGGAATAACTGAAAAAGATTGGAAGAAAACATTAATTGGGAGTGTCTATAGACTACTTTGGCCAACTTAGTCCGGCGAGCATTTATTCAAGCCGGTGAGGATGAGGAACTAGTCACTATTTATTGAAGGGGGGGGAAAGGAATTCGGAAGATTTTGGGGATGGCATGGTTTTCATAGGGAGGTTTACCACTCGTAATTTATCACTCGACCCGCTGCACTAAAATGAACAAAAACCCGACGTAGAAAACTCTGACTTACCCGATTACACGACGAACAAAGTGTAATGGAGACATCGGGGAGAAGTGATCGGTAATATTGGTATTTTAGAGGACTAGGCCACTTCTTTATGAGCACCTCGCGGCTGTTCATGGCCTGTAAAGTTGAGCGACCTACGCGGACTGGGACGAACTCAGATCCACCTTGCTGTGGGCGGTAACAATTTTACAGTAGACATAAATTTTCTCGACAAGACTTTTACAGACAGATGGTATACAGTTACAAAATAGTGAAAGGAAATTCTGAAGAGCAAGAGAAGCTTTCAGAATTTTAGGTGAAAAGAGATGATTATCAAAGAAAACCTACCATTACTGCATTGATAAATTACTCCAAAATAACAGGAAGTTGCAATTGTTTCTATTTCTAAGAAAATGAAATTGAATAGGACCAAAATAACTGAAGAAAGAAGTGAGCATGTGAATTTCCTCAGACCTTAATTTTTTTCAAGAAATTAAACTAGTTTCCTGTATGTATAC